AGCCGTTAAAGTGCAAAAAGCCCTCCCCCCGCCGCCGCCGCCAAACAGCGCCCCCAATGATTTCTTAGTTCATATACACGTAAGAAGTATCAGTTAAAGCGACGTAAATCAATGTAGTCAGTTAGAATGACGCAAAATCGAGTCTCAGAAACCTCTTCAGACTGGAAGAGAATCAATCAAGCTGATTTTGCCGTCTTAAAATCACACTTCAATTCATCATGGGTAACAAATGAATGTAGTGCGAACACAGCAGGAGGTCCGACCACGAGCGGCACATTATAAGGTTAACTGACAGTTCGGCATCCACAACACGGCGCAGCCTTGAGACAGCCGCAACCAGTTACCAGCGAACACACTATTTAGCGGTACCGGCTGCTCAGTTACCCATAGAAAATCAATGTTGGGACTGGCAAGAAAAAACAGTCAGGCGTTACTGCGATATGCAAAGGAGCCATCTTTGTTCAATAGTTCGTCAGATTACGGTATTCTTGAATTTGCAGAAATCTTCTTCAAATAAATCTTTTACGGGCTTGCATTCCTTCCCGTTGGGCAAAATATAATCCCACTGTAAAATTTCCCTCTTTCCTCATCTCCATTCTACCTGCCATGTTCCAAACTTTTCCCAACTTCCTATCCACTTTCCTGAGCTTTTTTTGCATTCTCTTTTTGAACTCTCCATTTTTCCCAGAGAAGTGCCGTCGTGCAAGGGGAGGGACATATACCTGACCACTAGAAACAGGAAACACCGAAAAAATCTGAGAAAAGTCACCAACCCAAAACATTTTTCCCTTAGGCAAATACGACCCCTTACCTCCAGCAGCGATCTAAGAAGACCACCCCTTGCTAGAGATCCCGAACGTGGGACGTGCCGTGTTCACAGAGTGTCACAAGCTCCGTTTTCTGGCTATCAGTTGGGTTTTTTTTAGTTTTGGCGGCTTTAGCATTAGAAGGTGTGAAAAATGATTAGACGCCATGAAGATGATAATTTCTGAAGCACGGGTGGGGAAGAAGCTTCGTGGAGGTAAAGGTAGGAATAAAGGTTACCCATAGAAGATAAACTATTTGATTTCTGTATCTCCCTTCCCAGGCAACAAACCACTCATGTTACTGAGCATTTCTTCCCCTTTTTCTGCTAACAAGGTAAAAAGTTTCTGAGCAATTTCAATAAAGGAAAATTGGGCGCTATTTTCGGGCGGGGAGGGGGAAGCAGAAGCGCACGCACGCGCGCTGCTTCGACTGTATGCTTGTATTCGATTTCTCTTGCCTTTTCCCTATATCCCTTCTCCGAAAAGGCTTGCGCTTAACCCTCGAAGCCTTTTCCTCCCCCCTCCCCCACCAAATCATCCTTGGAGGCGCTGATAACCTTGGGGATGCTTTTTCAATGTGAGCTTCGTTTCGTCTTTTATCTTTTCACAATCGTGTCTCACCTTGCAAGTCTTGTAAATTCCTGTCAATACCCTGTAAACTCATGTCAAGCTTGGGCTTTGAATGGTATTAGCGTCATTGGAACACCATTTTTCTATTACTCAAAATCTTGACCAGTCATTATGACAAGTTTGAGACAGGAGTTCATAAGGTACTTGACAGGTCATAACAAGGCCTATAGGACGTAAACACGCTTTTCCGCTACTCACATGTATATGATTTACATTACTTGGTAAGCAGACAAGCGCTTACAGGTGTTACCCACCCCCCCCCCACAAGGTTATTAGCCATAAAAATCTCTCAGAGTGATTTTGAGTGATTTGGACGCTTTGCACCAAAACTGCCTCAGTATATTGGAACAATGCCAACAGTCACTTACCTTCAAAAATATCTGTATTTTTCATAATCTCTGCAAATGTTGCACCATTCACCCATTGGAAAACTACGTCCATCATTCCTGGTTTGAAGGATTCCACATATTCATCTTCAACTATGTCGAGTTTGCATTCTATCGCCAGCCTTGCGATGCGCCGAGCATGTTCCTTGAATAGAGAGGAAAAACATTCACTTTAGACACTCCACGTCATAAAAAATAATCGACAACCAACAACACGTTTAGTACAAATGAAGCAGTTCGATTTATCTCCGAAACGAGTTACGCGCAAAACAGTCATTAATATGCCTCTTAACCAGACTCCGCTGGCACCCTGCGGTGAGTTTCTTACCGTAGTCGTGTATGGATATATTTACGGTATCGCGATAGAGTGCAAAAACAAAACTGTCCGAGCAGAAATGAAGTGGATCGTAACCGGAACGCGCGGTTCGCATAAATAAGATGCGGCGGCCGCGTTGGTGGGATAACAGCAGATGGGGAATGTAAAAAGAAGGCCGCCGCGCTCTACTGCGGTACGGTAGCGCCATACCTGATGACCACGTTCATTAATCATTGAGGTAGAAAATACACTCACATGAAGTTTTCGCAGGCAACCTGACAATTCTTCAGCCAGTTTCGGAGTTTTGGCCTTTTCCTAAAGAAACGATGTCGCAAAAATGATGGACAACTCAATCGTACAGCCTGGTTCTATGTGAAGACGTCTATTCATGGCAAAACATGGCGCAGTTCGGCGACAAGGGGGGAGGGGGATATGACAGTTTATCTTCATTAGCTCCGGTTTACAAGAGCCACTCTATTGAAAACTGTGAACGCTTGTGAAGCTGTAGCAAGGTCATCGAGCCACCACGGTAAATGGTATTTGGATAGTATTTCACTGCTTTATAATAGGTAACAGCTGGTATCATTCGTAGCTTCACAAAATTTCACAGGTTCCCACTCAGGGTACAGCATCGTGATGTGTGACTGGTACGGTAGTACGACCTCCCCCCCTCTCCCCTGTCGAAGGAGGGTCTGGGTACGACACACCCCTTCTCAACACTACGTACCACTTTCCTACGAGTTTCCACCTGCCTAC